AAACGGAGTTTAAGCTGTTTCGAGTCAAACGGAGTTTAAGCTGTTTCAATGAATCGTCTAAAAGTTTTACTGAATTTAAACAGTTCAGTTTGTTAAAACTTTTATTTCCAGCTGTCTGAGCCTGATCTAGACAGTCAGTCTGATCAGCGCAGTTTTACTGACAGTTTCTCTGAGAATGGACACTGCCAGACTGTAGTTCACTTAATAAATAACAGAATAAACAACAAACAACAATAAACTCTAAGGGTAAACGGATAGTTTCAGGTCCATTTTCAGCAGAAAACTGCTGCATAAAAAACAACAAACGGTTTGTTGTTTGGGTTCATTTACAAGTTGCTACTGGTGTAAACAAACAGTTTGCTTTGCTGCAGATCAGGTAAACAAACAGCTGGTGTCCACAACAGTAAACAGAACTGATCCATCTGATAACAACAAAAAACTGAATCAAATATTCTCCTTATTGTCTCTGTGCGTGTGTCTGTGTCTCTGTGTGCGTTACCTCAGCAGACTCCAGGTCCTTGTTGTAGGCTTTAGGAGGAAACCTCATGGCCTGCAGGAGGAGAAACATCAGAATCTGATTTATTCTGAATTTAATCTCCCAGAACGACTCGACGGGCCGAATAGAACAGAACTTGAGCCAATGACGTGCTAAACTCAGAGTTTTAATCAGACCGGTCAAACTAAACACGATGAAGCTTTTAATTTGAAGTGAAATCAGTTCTGATGTGAACCCAGAGGTGGTTCTGAATTTCAACAGAACTGAGTTTGACTTTACTGAGACGGTCCTGGATTAAAGAAGCAGAGACTGAAGACTCAAGGGCCCCGCGTCCATCTGAAGGCGAACAGTCGACTCGCGGTCACGTTCGTCTTCACACCTTTCATCGTCCACGACTCACGGCACAGACCTGCTGGGAAGCCCCGCCCCCTGCAGTATACGCCACCGCAGGCTTCTTCCTGCCAGAGTCTCCGCTCCGTCCCTGCAGCCGCCGTTCAGCCACAAATCTGTCACGAAGAGAGCGCTACACTTTTCAGCAGACTCCTCCATGCACGACGTGTGCACGACCTCCGTCCAGGAGTTTTTGGACATTTGACTAACTTGGTGAGTTTGATGAGTCGTACACATGAATGAGCACATTTACGCATGGATGAACACGCCCACAAACTTCTGACCAATCACAGAACTTGGTGCATACGCCTGTGAGAAAAAAGTTCAGCCCGGGTCTTGTGTCGAGAAGTGGCGGAGCTACTCCGAGAACTTTGACAATGGGAGTCGATTAGCTTCAGACTGAGGATGCAGGGCCCTTGAGTCTGACTCTGCAGAAGTCAGAGGTCAACCAGGCTGAAGGAAGACGCTGACCTGGTTTGGTTCTGTTCGTTGGTAACGTACGACGCTCGTGTCAGCGACCCGTGTGCTCTCAGGTGAGCCGTTACCTTGACAGACATGTTGTGGATGTCGAGGCAGAAGGAGATCCTCTGGTGGAACGCCAGCTGAGGCTCCCTGGTGCCATAAATGTCCATAGTCTCTTTTGATTGAACGAAGCCTTTCTCATGGTTGATGCTGGCCTCGATTACACCGTCACGGATTGCCTGCAGGACACAGCCCCGTTAACTCCGCCCCCTTCCATCAGAGCAAACTCAAGTGTTATTGACGTCCTTGTTACCTTGGCAACGATGAATTCTGCATCCTCTGGACTGTCGAGCTGCAGCTTCTGAGCGATGTCGGCCAGAGAGATCCTCGAATACGACAGGCTGATCATCCTCACACCTGAGCACACATAGGGCGATGACACCATCAGTAACTCACCAGGAACCATCCAGGATTGGTCAGAGCAGACGAGGAGTGTGATTGGCTCACCGGTCTTGATAACGTTGTGTCGCAGGCGGATGATGAGCGTGTACGTCCCGTCAGTCTGAAACTTCTCTCCAAACTGCTCCAACACCTGGTTAAACTTGGCCAGGTTACCTGTCCGCACAGCTGAGCATCACACACACACACGCACGCACACAGTCAGGATTATCCCGAACAAAGATCTAAAAACCTGTTTAGGATGAAACAGCATCGACTCGGTTCTCTCAGACTTACAATAATCTGTCTGCAAACTTCCAGTTTGTTTTATTCTGACAAGGACTTCCTGTTTGTTTTATTCTGACAGCTGACTTCCTGTTTGTTTTATTCTGACAGCTGACTTCCTGTTTGCTTTACTCAGACAGCTGACTTCCTGTTTGTTTTATTCTGACAACTGACTTCCTGTTTGTTTTATTCTAACAGCTGACTTCCTGTTTGTTTTATTCTGACAGCTGACTTCCTGTTTGTTTTATTCTGACAACTGACTTCCTGTTTGTTTTATTCTGACAGCTGACTTCCTGTTTGTTTTATTCTGACAGCTGACTTCCTGTTTGTTTTATTTTGAAAGGTTGTCTGTTCTGTAGAACACTGCACGTGTCTCTCTGATGCCTCAGTCAGGTTTTTGGGTTTGGATCAGAACCAGTGGAGCATCTGCAGCTTCCTGCTGGAAGGACGACACAAACAGGAACTGACCCTGAGTCAGCAGGAAGTAGAGCATCAGAGAGCGTTTGAGTGACGGCTGTCTGAACTGCAGTCTGTCAGGAATCTCTCCCAGCAGCAGCTCCACCACGATCAGCAGCTTGTGGACCTGGAACAGAACCGGATGTTTCATTGTGCCGTGAAGAGCAGAATGTCTATTTTTATTTATTTCAGACTCTAGAGAAAAATACGTAAATCAATAACTCAAGGGATTCTACTGGTTAGAAAAACGACTCAAGATGGCGTTCAGCTGCTCAGCCTGATGTTTTAGAAAACGTTCCCGTCACATCATCAGGGTTTGTTTCTTAAAACACCAACAGTTTCAGGTGTTTATGCACTCGTCTGCAGCCCACAGACAGGACGACACAAACCCGACATTAAAATTAAAAAAACGATCGAGTTCATGGACTGAACTGTTCTGTTTCCAACATTTAAACCTCAGAAAACGTACTAAATGAGGCAGGAAGTTACAGCCAACAGGTCCTGCTCAGGACCAAGTTCCTCAGAAATCATTTGGACAGAACTGGAACAGGAACGACTTTGAGGATCCATCAAAGGTCCTGCAGGTTGAGGAGGCGCAGACATGGAGGACTTACAGAACAAAGGGTTACTTTGATGTTATTTACGGTCTTTATTAGACTGTTTGCCTGTCGGGGGGCGGAGTGTCGCCAAGGACCTGTCACCCCAGGATAAGTGGCTTCGACCTAGCATAAATGACGTAGCACTCCGCTTCGTCCTCCTCCCTGCCAACAATCATACCAGTCACAAAACGCTCTGCTCGCTTCTCTTCCACCCCTGGTCTGACAACAGCCCTGCCAAGGCCAGTAATCTAGAGGAAACGTGTGTGTGTGTGTGTGTGTGCGTACAGTCTGTTTGAAGCCCACTGCCGTGTGTTGTGGAGCCTTCCTCAGAGCGTTGGTCAGAGTTCTGCGGGCCTCAGAGTACTCCAGCTGGATGGCCTTGATCCGACCTGCAGGGTGACACGTGTGTTGAGCCCGCTCAGGTACCGTCTCACCAGTGAGAGACAGGTGTGGCTTACCTGTGTAGTAGAGGTGTCTGGCCCACTCGTTGTTGTTGGCGAGCTCGGGGAACACGGATTTGGACACAAGCTTCTCGGCCTGGTCGTACAGGTTGAAGTGCAGGTAGTTCCTCAGCAGCAGGTTGAGCAGCACGGCCTGACCGTCGGCGTCGTGCCGCAGCGTCGCCGTGCGCAGCCGGGTGTGCAGAAAGCTGAGCGATCAGACAGACAGACTGAGTCTCTGATGAATCATCGGCTGACGTTCCGTCTGCAGAAAGGTGCGTTTACCTGCGGATGGTGTCCAGCTGGTTCAGGAACTCGTACACTCTGGCGTGATAATAATAACATTTAGCTACAACCAGGTCCAGAGCCCTGCGGTTCTTTGAGCTGACCTTCTGCATCAAGTCGTCTGACACTTTCTGAGCCTGAAGCAACAAACAGACCCATCAGAACCCAGCAGAGGTTGACCTCAACTGTGACGTGTTCTGCCTCTGACATAAAACTAAACATGGCGGGAACAATCAGAGGACAGAAAGGCGTGGCGTTACCTCCGTGTATCTCTTGCTGTTGGTCAGGTGGATGACCAGCAGCAGCTGCAGGTATGCCTCCACCTCTGGCAGCAAAGGAGTTAATGCTGCTTTACCTGTCCTTGGGCGAAACTGGACGTCTCCATCTACTGTCTCCATGGGCTGGAACACACACAGACAGGACCATCAGAAAACGTTTTGGATCCCATTTTCAGTTTCAGATAAATGAGAATGTGGCCGCGTGGCATCACCTCCTCCAGGAAGCCCAGCAGGAAGTCTCTGGTGACGGTGTTGCTGGTGAAGAAGCCGAAAATGGCTTTATGGAGCACGTTGGTGTTGAGCCGGCGGCTGGTGGACGGCAGCGCTCGGAGCGCACGCAGGACAAAACGAGGCTCCTTTCCCGACACAGCCTTCTCGATCTGCTTCACGTGCTCTTTAATGTCTGAGGAGGAGGTGAGGAAGAGGAGAGGCGGAGTTTAAACATACAGGTGTTCAGAAAAAAAACATTTAAGAATCTACTGATTCTGATCAGATACACATAAATCAGTCTTGACAGGTTCAGTGATCAGTTTGGAAATCTGAAATAACAAACGGAGCAAACAAGAACTCAGTCTGCAGACAGGTTTGAACCAGGTGAGCTGGACCAGGGGAGCTGGACCAGGGGAGCTGGACCAGGGGAGCTGGACCAGGGGAGCTGGACCAGGGGAGATGGACCAGAGGAGC